TGAAAACTCACAGGAAAAATATAATTTACCCTGTCGGTTCTCCAAACTCACAGGGTAATACATATAACCCTATCGGTTTAAGTCATACGCACAGGGAAATTAGCTCATAGGATAATTACCTACAATTCCCTATGAGTTACACAATTTCTCTGTCACATATGTACACAGGGTAATTTGGGATCAAAAGCGCGCCAATTTTCCCGCCTATATTTTTGCTTCGCAGGCTTCTTCGCGCTTTCGCCAGACAATATTTGGCGGCTTTGCGCCTGTGGACTCTATGGATCCAAAAGGCAAAGAATGAAAAAAAATGTCAGACCTTATCCATCCCCCAGCGCCCTCAGCCTCGAGTCGCATCCGCATCTCCACCCGCCACCCAGCTCCCGTTCTGTCGCGCCTCCGCCTCTCCACCCGGCCAGCTCCTGGCCGTCGCCGCCTCTACCTCTCCAGCCGCCCAGCTCCCAACCATCACAGCGTCTGCCTCTCCACCTGCCCCGACCAGTGGCCCACCCGCCTCCACTCTCCTAGCTCGGCCGGTGGTTCACCCGCCTCTAGCCAGGAGGCAGCGGCCCGTCCGCCCGGCAGGCTGGTGGTCCTTCCACCTCCGTCCGTAGCCAGCCGTCCGTCCGCCTCAGCTCCGCCTAGATCGACGCCCGTCCGCCCCGAGCCAGCTGCCTACCTCCTCGCAGTGAGTCGCCACCATGTCGACGCCCACATCGACGTCATCGCTTGCCTGATCCAAGCCTCCGTATAGGCGCATCTAAGGTTTGCCTTGGACCCACTGCACCGGCCGCAACATCCCGCAGTCTTTTTTCCATTTAATGTCATGTGAATCTATAAGTAATTGCATGGCGTGAGCCCTTCCTTGAACTCTTTCCCTCTTTATGTGGAATGTGATGGATTGTATGGTGGTCATCGTCGGTAGCATCTTCGGTCACTAGATCCGTCACCTTCCGCAAGAATCTGCTCTACCGCTGGTTTGATTGGAGAGATCTATTACCTTCAGCCACATTTTGCTACGCCACACATCAGAAATTGAGAAGCACCGTTGAGGTTCACTTGTACACTTAAATTTACTGATGTTCCTTTCATTATTTCTATTGCTAATTTTATTGATAAGCGATGTTTCTTTCACTATTTCTACAGCACTGTTTCTACAGCCTACAGCAGCAATAGAAGCACCCACAATCATCTTCAGTTGTCCTTTTGCTTCAAGGTACAACTATTTGTTTTCGCTCTTTTTAGTAATCTGCTCTCCAACTAATAGAGATGAATGGTGCACTAGTGCATTGTTTCTACAACTATTGCCTTTATATTGTATAGGCTGTTCATCAGTACAACTTATGCATAGTGCACTATTTTTATTTGTTTGACACAGGTTAAAATAAGCTTCTGCGATTTGTGTAGTAGTCAAAAAATACTTCATCATCACTACAACCCATAACAAAGTGATGTGAATTTGCTTTCTGGTTAAAGGTAAAGTTCTTACTTTTTGTTGTGTTTATGAATGTGCTCTGCTATGTTGTGATGCTCATTCTCTTTTATTGCACACTGCTGTCATCGTCTTGTGATTGCCATCGGTTATCACTAGTTAATATGATTGGTATGCTTTTATTACACACTGCTGTTATCTTGTGATTGCCACCAGTGTACATTTGTTAATTTGGTTGGTATACACGTCTTCTGTTATGGAATGATAGATATGCCACATTCCTAGATATGTTGTATGCCTATATGCATGGTCTAAATTAACAATTAAAATTTTATATTTACATACCTGAGATGGATGATTTCTTTCAGTACGTACTTCAAATCACAATCACTCATTTATTTCAATTAAGTTATGATATGTGTGCATAATAGTAATTCTATTAATGTAGAAAATTTGACAAGGAGTAGTGGAAGAGCCGTGTTGTTCCAATTGAACAGCAGAAACGTGAATTGAGACTAAATGGCTGGAATTATGGCCGTTCCATAAAACAAGGGCCAGATTTTTTTGAATGGTTCAAGGACCAAGTAATGTCCCTATGCATATGAGATTGCATTTGTGTTAGTTTCACAGCAGACACCACTAACATATAAACTACATTTTGCAGTGCATGCAATCATCTATTGTTCACAAAGCTTTGTGTCAAATGTCATATGGTTTTTGTACTCGAGTTCATTGTTATGGTTGTTATGATGTCAACGGTTATATATTTTGTTCCGAGCAGTATGAGAAGGGAAGATCTAGACTAACCACTTGCAATACTGGTGTTTGTGTGTCTTCTTATGATGAAAGTGGCAATGTTCTTGATTATTATGGTGTCATAGAAGACATCATCAAAATTGTTTGGGAAGGGAGCATGCCACTTGAGTTGGTTTTATTTTATTGCCGTTGGTTTGATCCAACACCCAATGGACTGCGACGCTCTGAGAACTTGGGTTTGGTAGAGATTAAGCACACATCAAGATTATCAAATTTTGACCCATTTGTCATGGCTGCTCAAGTTAGTCAAGTTTACTATCTACCTTATCCATGTAAAATAGAGAAGATCTCATGGATTGGTCAGTAGTGTATAAAGTTGCTCCACATGGATACATACCTCCAATTAATAGCAATGCTGATTCTAGTCTTGGTGAAGGGCCAACTCAGGATGTTTAATTCTTCCAAGAGGACGGATTAGATGGCACCTTCGTTATTGACTTGGGAGCTGCATTGGACTCTATAACATCATTGGTCTCAGATGAGATTACTGATCCTAAAGACTTGGAAGAACTGGAGAAAAATCCGTCTGAGATTGAGGAAGAAAATGAAGCTATAGATGAAGAGATAGAGTATACAGATGAAGAGAATGAAGATTTAGATGAAGCTTACGATTGAATTTCAATGTTTACTGTAGTTTTTGTGTATTGTACTCTCTATTTTGTGAACTTTATGTTCTCCATGCCTAGGATCTACTGTATTGAACCTTTATTAATGTATATGGTATTGCCTATGTACTATGTACTTCGCTACATTCAAATCGTGTGATTGCCACCAGTGTAGATTAATTGACCACTATGATGATTTCTTAGAAATAATCCATGCTATTGCCTATGTACTGTGTACTTCGCTACATTCAAGTCATGGCTCCAAACTTGTGAAAATTATGTTCTACAGAATGTTATATTTATATTTTAAATCTGCATGGTAAATCTCACTTATAATTTTCCATTGCAGATGGTGAGTAGCATTCGTCACAGTCGTAACAGTCATGCAAAAGGGAGTGCTTCTCTTGTTTCAAACTCAAGTGATGGTGCCTCTCAAAGACCAAGGTCTGATCCTCCTTCCCAAAGCCTTAATGCTACTGAACCTATCCGTTCTGTACAGTCAGCTAAGCAAAGGGGGAGAAAGCAGGGGTGTCTAACAAAGTTAAAAATGCCGGTGCATGGTCGCAAGGTTGCCCTTGAACCACTTAGTGATACGTGAGTACACAATCATCTCTACATTTTGTCTCCCAACTTTTCAACCCTTTTACTAACCATTGTTTACATGTCTTACATCTTGTACTGGTGAAAAGGCAATTTACTTATGTTGGTTATCGTGGTTATAAGTACTCTACTCAAGTTGGGGTTATTATTAAGAGAGAATACCCAGGCCTGGTAGATGACAAGGATCAAAATGGTGTAGTTCTTAACACCCGCCCAACACTAGAGTGGGCTGATTATTTCCTAACACCAAAGGATAGAACGGGACAGACTGCTAGAGATCGTGTACTTTCTGAATTTTGGGTAAGTAACATGAATTTTGTATAAGTTGACACACCTGTACCATAACTACTATGGTTACTATATGTGTAATTATTTATGGTCATTCCTTGCATGATGAAATGCCTTTCTTCGCTTTTGCATGTAGCGTTTGTTTCAAGTCAAAAGGGAGGATCAGCAAGAAGCAGATCGTGTTTTGGAAAATTATGTTAGCAAAAAGGTCAAGGACATTTTGTACCAAGCTCGTGTGGATGTTGTCAAGGTGTAGTACAAGGACGTACTGAAGCAGAACCTAGATGACAAGTTGGCACGACCGATAGAGCTTACATATGAACAATATCTGAATGGCAGAGTGAAGTGGTGCAAGCGTACTGCATGGCCTTCTCTTTGTCGTTATTGGTGCTCAGAAGAGTTCCTCACAAAACGAAAGAGGGGGCAAGAATCTCGGTTATCTTCTGATGATAATCAGAATTTATGTCATGCAAATAGGTGTTTACATGAGCGCCTTAACCAGATGGGGGAACTTAATAATGACCTAATACTGGTATGGATGTGAATTCGTGTGTCTATTTATTGATTAAAGAAAGCACACTCCTAGTAGTTTATTTTTGAACTACTATACTTGTTTGGATGTAGGATCTTTATCGCAAATTGGATCAGGAGGTTCTAGAAAATCATAAAAGGCGCCTTGCAGCTCTATAAGCAAATGTAAGTACATTAACTTGATACTTGTACCTATGAAATTGGTATTAATTATGACAAAAAAACCAGCTGGTCTAAACCATTTTAAGTAGACAACTGATATGTTTTGATGTCAGAATGACAACACACAGTGCAGCAGTGAGGGAGTGGCCTCATGTTGATGGCTACTGTATTTTCCAACTTTCCATCTTAGTTTTAATCTCACAGTAAGCTGTACTTCTAGCTGTCTTTGAAACTTGCCACCTCCAAGAAGGAATTTATAATTTAGTCCCACAGAAATCAAGGTTTTACATAGCTAGTAGATGATGAAATAGACTTTAAAATCTTGTGCATGTCTAAATAATTCTTTCAGCTCCAGAATTTCATGGAATGCCAATTCATTTTATTTCTCGTTAGGGCCACTATTCACTTGTATATGCTTCATGTATGGTGCTGGTGTAAAAGGAAATCATGTATAAGACAATTAATTAATGTTTGTCAGTCCTAAAATCCAATTGATATTTACATGGTATTATCATTTTGCAGCTGCCCACTAGTTCATCACATGTTGGTGAGGACTTGATGGTGAGGACATGGATGGAGAGGACAAAGAGGACATGGATGGCAGCTACATGGAAGGAGAGGACACGGAGGAGGACATGAATGAAGAGGACATGTATGAAGAGGACGAAGGGGACGAAGAGGACAGGGATGAAGAGGACATTGACAACAACAATGGGGGCAGTAATGCTAGATCATACATCGATGACTTCTGTGATTTGGGATATATATGGTAAGGTTGATATTGGCAGAAATAGCACATGGGTTGTCAAAGTGACTTTTGTCCATTGAACAACATAAGCTGGTGGCTGTCTTTTGTCTTTTGAACATGTATGGCCGTGAATGGTTAACTTAGTAGTAATTGAATGTTAGATGGACTTGGCTAAAACTAGGATGTCGTGGTAGGTGACATGGCTGTACATGTATAAATTAGGAGCAGCATATGGTGCTAGTAGTAGAATTTTAGATGTAATTTGTGAGGGCAGAACCTTTGGTATGTTGGCCCGTATTGAATGCTTTGTAAGCTTTTATGGAACTTATAATATATATGCTTGATTATTGTGCTATGCATATAATGTGTTGTTTGGTGCATCTGGAACATAACATGTAATTGTGATATTTTCCTGTCATCTACTAATTTCTCTGGTGGTGATTTGAGAAAAAAAAATTGTGATTTCCTTGAGGGGAAACCATCAGAAAAATTAGGTTGAACTGACAGAAATTTAGTATTTCATTGATGGAAAACCGACAGAAAATAGCTTCCCATCTCACATAATTATCTTTATTTCCTTGAGAGTTGACTCACAGAAAAATTACTAAAACCCACAAAGAAATTAGCAATATCCCTGACAGTAAGCCTACAGGAAAATCAATTAACTTGACTGTTGCTGACAATGTACTGGACCTAATGACGTTATTTTTTTTGTCACGCATCCGTCAAAGAAATACTGACAGGAAAATATTTCTGTCGGGAGGCTCACAGGTAAATTCTATTTCTCTGTCAACCTATCCTTGACAGGATATGCCTGTCGAGCTCCCGACAGAATTAATTTTTCTGACGGTTTTTCTCACTTTCTTGATGGTTTTTTGGCACACAGGAAAATTTGTGTTTCCAGTAGTGCAAGAAGGTTCGGATCTCGAAAGGGAAGTAAAAAGTCCAATGGACTTCGGAGAATTTGGAGACTTGGTAAAGTATGGGTGCATTTCATGGGCTGCATCATTATGGACAAGGAAATTGCCAGTGGGTTAGTGAATACTATGGACCCAAATTCTCCTTCCCACGTTAGGTAACTAGATTTAATTTCTTACAATTTCAATTAGCATCTAGTTCCTTTTCATGCCTAGGTTTGCATTTGCATGTTTAATCTTTTGTCTTGCATAAACTAGGTATATCTTATGGTAGGCTTGCTCGGTTTCATTCTTAACCCTTAGAGCAAACCTACATGGTTTAAATTGTTTAGGAGCACGGCACATAACTTGTTTTACAATTGTTCATCTAATATGTGCCAAAGTCCAAATTATAGATAATTTCTCCCGAATATCACCTTCGAAAATGATTCTAACATTCATGTGATGTCATCTTTTAAGTGATATTTTTTATTCTAAAATCAATGTGCATGTCTCCTACAAGTATTCCATACTTGTATGCACAAATTTAGGGGGAGGTTACTCTACAAATTGGATGTTTTGAGACTAACATCTTTTCAAGCTTATCATGTGTATAGCAGTCTCATTGCAAGGAAAATGGAGTCTTGGGAGTTAAGCATCATACTTCAAATATCCACCACCTATTGCAAGTGGTATAAATCAAATTGGTTTCCATATATGGTATTTCTAAACCGATATCATCATGTTGATTTTACTTTGGTATTTATATGCTTTCTCCATGCATTATATTGATTAAACTCTCTTTAGCATTAATTTGCAAATTATGCATAAACTACATTCTCCATCATATGTATGCATATATTTAGGGAGAGCTTAGTCTATGTAATGTGAGAGTCAAATTTTGTGACATATTACACTCCACATACAAAGGATCACAAAGTTTGACCCTCCCTTGTGCTACTAATGTCTTCCTTTTCGGTGTTTGATTCCAAAAAAGGAGAATTTGTAGGATCAAAAGCAAGCCCGATCATAATAATTTATAAGTGGTAATGGTCCGAGAAATGGAGGATAGTGGATTATGGAGTTAGGGGAGGCTTAAATCCATAATGCCACATGGATTTTCATGTTTGATGACCAACACAACCAAATTGGACTAATGAATTTGCAAGTAATTGTTTTGTAGTTCAATAGGGTGCAAGACGTGACTTGGACGAATGCGACATGATGATCTGATGATCAACACCTTAAGCAAGACCCTAAAAGCACAAGAGAGGATCCAAGATATCAAGCAAAGTCTAAGCACGAAGATATGAACCAAGCCGGACGCAAGATCACGAAGAAACAAGCTTCACAGAGGTGACCGGACGCGGCCCTTATAGCGACCGGACACATCTGAGCAAGATGCTCGACAACAACAGGCGTCAGTAGCAGCAATCAGACGCTAAGGACTAAAAGTGACTGGACACGACGATGGCACTGTTCATCATCTCGGCAACACATTTAGCAATAACCGAACGCTGGCGGATAATCGACCAGACGCAGGAACTATAGCGTCTGATCGAGTCCAGAGAGGTTCCAGAGCGGCGACAGCGCGACCGGACGCGTCCGATCAATAGTGACCAGACTCGGCAGTGCGTCTGATCAACACGCGCGCTCCAACGGTCGAACGACCAGACGCGTCCGGTCAGGACGACAGCAGCGTCCGGTCAGTAGCAGAAAGCTGGGTTTCACCCCCAACGGCTACTTTCTCGGTGGGGCTTATAAATAGACCCCCCCCAACCGGCCATTTGAAATGTGGAGAGCTGAGGAAACATATCAAGGGTGTTGATACACCATTTTAGTGATCTCCACTTGCATAGTGCTTAGTGATTCATTAGGTGATTAGCGTAGGTGCTTTGCGAAGTGCTTAGGATGATTAGATCACCGCTTATGCGCTTGCTCTAGGTTTAGGCCTAGTGTTTGTTGTACATCGGAGGGGCTTGTAGTCTTGCAAGATCACACCAACTGCGTTTGAGGTGTGGGCGCCACCGTGTACCGGAGGAAACAAGGTCCACGGCGTTTTGGTCAGAAGCTTGATAGTGAAGACGGCAGGGAGCATCCGGGAGAGGCTTACCGAAAGACACGTCGGAGACCCACTTGCGCGTGGGGAAGGCCCGAGGCTATCCACGGAGTTACCCGACCAGAAGCTTAGCCCTTGCGAGGGGCTCCAACGAGAACTAGGGGAAGCTTGCGCGCTTCTCGATACCTCAATAAAAACAAGAGGCCATAGTTTAGAGTTAGACTTTTAAGTTGCCTAATTCACTCCCCCCCTCTTAGGCGTCATGGTCCCTTTCAAGGTTTTTGTTTTTCTCTTTCTTCTTTTCCAAGCCTGAGCACTTGATCACCATGGCCATCACCACCAACATGATCATCATCACTTGCTCCACCACTTGGAATGTGCCACCCTATCTCATGATCACTTAGAGTAAAAGGGTTAGCACTTAGGGTTTCATCAACTCAACTCACCAAAACCAAACTAGAGCTTTCAACAGTGTAGTCGAGTATGTGACATGGTCATCATTACTCATGAGTTTCTAGGGTGGTTTGATTGATTGAGGAACTTGTAGAGAAGGAAAGATATAAAATTTGATGAAGACGATTAATGTTGAATGAGGTTCAGTGAGGGGTAAGGTCATGACAAGACAGGTATCAGGTGACGTAACTCGCTTTAGCTATAGTTAAGGGCTAGTTTTTGTTGCGTCAATTTGAGCACTTACCTATACTTACCATGTTTTATATGTACGTGCATGGCAAGCTTACTATCATGTTTTGACAGGGTAATCCTATAGATTCAATTCACCTAGTGACGAGGGTTTGCTAGTAACGTGCAAGTACTCCTATGTTTTGTCATTGTTTATTGGATGACTTGGCCCAATGTGGGACAAGTTGAGGCACTGAGTTACCTTTACGGATCAATGGGTCATATGAGCAGCGACCTTGTTGTTGTGTGGTAAAAGATGTACACCCCTTGTAAGATGTTAATTAATCATTTTGACATGTCAAATTCTTGGTTATGAGTAAGTTCTTTATTGTTGACACTTTAGTGTAAAGTTTTCATGCTAATAACGACACATGGAAGATTGAGCTCACCCCTCATGCTTTGTATATGTTGTTCATGCTAAACCTAGAATAGATAAGTTAGGTCTTATGCTCATTCTTACTTCATGACCAGACACTTTTATGCAAATAATAACATAACTACACAAAAAAAATTCTGACTTTCAGAGGTGGGCCCATCCATTTTGTAGAATTCGAACCCATGACCTTTGGCCCCATGCAGCTATCCCTACCACTACACAATACACTCACTTGTGAGTGAGTATAAGATGCTATCCATTTGTACTAACTTTTAGTATAATATTGTATTGAATAGTTTGGTCTTTAATTTAAATGAACTCAAATGAAAAATATTTCAACTTCAAAGTATCGGATTTGTATAGCAACACTATTTTGGCACATGGCATGTATCCACGTGAGATTATTTGAAAAATTGAATGCCAAAATCAATAACTTAAAACAAATATTTGAAACTCTAAAAGTCTAAATGAAAAACTTGTAAATATCAAAATTGTAGATCGGGACGGCTACTACAACTTTGATATTGACTATGTCAACATCCGATGTTGTTTGTAAATTCTAAAATTTAAATCTTAAAATATACAAAAATTAAACATATATTTGGGACTCTAAACGATTTTAGGTTGAAAACTTGTCAACTACAAAGTTGTAATCGCATTGAAAACTATAACTTTGGTTTGGACCATGTCAACATCTACGGTTGTTCGAAATTCTAAATTTTTAATTTTAAAAAATAGGAACTTAAAATTAAATTATGATACTCTAAATAATTTCAATAAAAAAACTTATTAGCCTCTTGATGTAGATCTTGTTGAACTCTACAATTTTCATATAAAGTTTGTCTCCATATGACTTAATATGAAAAAATTATGATTTTTAGTTAAAAACTATTAATACATGTGTCATCTTTAGACAACCCCTTTGTGATTTATAGAGGCACTACACTTAAAAGGCACGTCTTTATTAATAGCCCTCTTCTTAACAGGGGACCACCTCCGAAAATCATTAGATGTTTCAAGAGACGACAAGACACTTTTTAGCCACATCTCTAGGGTTCTGTCTCCTAAAATTATTTCTATACTAGTGTAAGCTTGTTCACCTTACTAGTCAAATGTATTTCTATACTAGTGTAAGCTTTGTTCACCTTGCTAGTCAAATGTATACCCGCCTATATTAGTTTAGGAAAATCAAATGGAGTTTAGCTGAGAAAGAAAACTGTACTGTTTTAGCCAAATGTACTTTTCACTTGTAACGCAAACAACACAAGGGTATAAGAGCTAATTGATAGCTAGCTAAAAATTAGTCAAACTTAACTCTAGTACATCCAAACAGGAGAAGAATAGGTGGGCTAATTATTTTTAGTCAAGTCTTCAACTAGTTGTTAGCTGACTAGTTAGCTAATCATAATTAATATAGGCTAATTTTGAACCCCAATTAGCAACCAGCTATGTGTATCATCCGGACCTATCAACTCAGAAAGAACAGTAGGCAAGAGCCGGCAGTTTAAGTATAATAACAAAAAAAGGAAACTAAACTGGACTCTCAACCTGTTCGGCTAGGGCTGAAACGATCGTATACGATCGTGAATTATTACTGCTGGCTAGTTTGGTGTGAGAGAAAAATATTATTCTGGATGGAAATTTACGATCGTTCACGACCAAGCGACAGGCTGTCCATGGTGGCTGTTGATGTGGACCCACCTGTTATGTACTGTTGCTGAATGACGGGAACACATGACATGAGCAGTGTACACCACGGAAAAAGGTAAAAAGGCGAATGGCAATACAAACGTTGTTTAATCCAAAAACGCACGTGGCCCATGTGCAGATTCCTCCCCGGTCCACCGCCACCCACGTTATATATAGACAAAGCCTCCTCGGTCACGACCTCACAACTCACACACACACATTTCCCTCTCCTTCCCTCTCGCCTGCCTCGCGGCGCCGACCTGCTCCTTGTGTTGTCCAGTTGTCCACTAGCTAATTCTAGACGGGAAGAAGAAGAAGGAAGATCCCGGCGAGGCGCCATGGCAGCAGCTGATGCAGCCTTGCCCTGGGCGGCGCAGTGCGCGGGCATGGCCCTGTTCGCCTCCTCCTTCTGCTTGGTGGCGCTGGCCCTGGTGCTCATGCTCCTCCGCCGCTGGCCGTGGTGCAGCTGCCATGTCTGCCGGGGGTACCTCACGGGGTCGTGGGCGCGGGACTTCACCAACCTCGGCGACTGGTACGCGCACCTCCTCCGGGAGTCGCCCACCGGCACCGTCCACGTCCACGTGCTGGGCTGCACCGTCACCGCCAACCCGGCCAACGTCGAGTACATGCTCAAGACCAACTTCGACAACTTCCCCAAGGGCAAGACCTTCGCCGCGCTGCTCGGGGACCTCCTCGGCGGCGGCATCTTCAACGTCGACGGCCACGCGTGGCGCCACCAGCGCAAGATGGCCAGCCTGGAGCTCGGCAGCGTCGCCGTGCGCTCCTACGCTTTCGGGATCATCGCCCAGGAGGTGGAGGCCCGCCTCATGCCGCTCCTCGCCGCCGCCGCCGACGCCAGCGCGGTGGTCGACCTGCAGGACGTGTTCCGCCGCTTCGCCTTCGACACCATCTGCAAGATCTCCTTCGGCCTCGACCTGGGCTGCCTCGAGCTGGACATGCCCGTGTCCAAGCTCGCCGACGCGTTCGACACCGCCACGCGCCTCTGCGCCATGCGCGGCGCCGCGGCGTCGCCGCTGCTCTGGCGGGCCAAGCGCCTGCTCAACGTCGGCTCCGAGAGGGAGCTCAGGGAGGCCATCAAGCTCGTCGACGAGCTCGCCGCCGCCATGATCCGGGAGCGCCGCAAGCTGGGCGTCGCCAACAGCCACGACCTCCTGTCCCGCTTCATGGCCTCGGCCGGGGCCGGCGACGAGCACCACGACGTCGACGACAAGTACCTCCGCGACATCGTCGTCAGCTTCCTCCTCGCGGGGCGACACGGTCTCCTCCGCGCTCACCACGCTCTTCATGCTCCTGTCCAAGAACCCGGCCGTGGCGGCCGCCATGCGAGCCGAGGCCGGCGGCGACGGTGGCGACTCGGAGGCGCCGCTCACCTTCGAGCAGCTCAAGCGCCTGGACTACACCCACGCGGTGCTGTACGAGAACATGCGCCTGTTCCCGCCGGTGCAGTTCGACTCCAAGTTCTGCGCCGGGCCCGACGTGCTCCCCGACGGCACCTACGTGTCCGGCGGCACGCGCGTGATGTACCACCCCTACGCCATGGGCCGGATGCCGCGCATCTGGGGCACCAACCACGGCGCGTTCCGCCCGGACCGGTGGCTCACCGGCGAAGGCGGCTCGTTCGTCCCGGAGAGCCTGTACAAGTACCCGGTGTTCCAGGCGGGCCTCCGCGTATGCCTCGGCAAGGAGCTCGCCGTCACCGAGATGAAGGCGGTCGCGGTGGCCGTGGTGAGAGCGTTCGACGTCCAGGTCGTCGGGGACAGTGGCAGCGCTGCCTGCGCGCCAAAGTTCGTGTCGGGGCTCACCGCGTCCATCAGCGGCGGCCTCCCAGTGAGGATTAGTAGAAGAGTTCCAAGCTAGAGATTCTTGTTTTCTTTCTTCAAAAAAAAAAGAAAAAGAAAAAAAGAAGTAGAGAGTAGATCAGTAGAGTTGTTTCGCGGATAATGTACATAGTAGACTAATTAAAAGATGAGGGAATGAAATAGCAAGTTGAATCAAAAGTCCCATTCACGAATTCCATCCACGATCCATTTGGTGTGCACTTTTCTGATGCTGCAAGCCTGCAAGTCTGCAACAGAAAGCAAACTGTTATCACCACTGTTTGATGAGGCCACTTCCACTGGCCTGCCTGTTAGCTAACCGTTCCGTGATTCAGTTCCCTTTTCTTCTTTCTGGATCTCTCTTTCAGCTTACTTTATTTCAGAAGAAGCCAACTTCAGCTGCAGAGATTTTCAGTCACTTGCCATGGAGTAGCAGATTCAGAGTTTTAGACCATCATTTTCAGTCACATGCCACGCAGTAGCAGATTCAGAGTTTTAGACCATCCTGAATTCCTGACGAGGAATCAGTGACAGAGCCACGATTGGCACAACAGGATGAACCCTGCAACGAAGGAAACCTTACGTAAACAGCAACAAAATGGTCCCTCTGTTAATTCTATTTCCGGCCTCTGCTAATTTCATTCGCCGGATGCAACGCCGGATCCACGCAACAGTTCTCAGTTTCTGCTTGCACAATACAAGCAACTGCGAACCTGCAGACGATAGGTATTGGCTGTCTGTCTTTATGGCGATACAGATACAGATCTATCTTCAGAGCACTGACAAGTGATGGCGTGTAGAAGGTAACGTGTACGGTATTGGTGATCCGTGCTCGTGCTGGCAAATTGAACTATTGAAGAGAAGATTTTGGATGATTGTATTGATGAACAGCTGAGATGTTAGTTGATGTGAAGTGGACTTATACATGCTGTACATCTTATCTTCTCTTTGCCACTGTCAGGTAGAATAAGAACTTAGTTGCTACTCTGCAAAGACCTTAAAGGTGAAGCAAAAATCGACACCTAATGGGCCAATTCCCAAGATGACGGAGGCAATATGCCATCCTCATGAAAGTCTCCATTTTCTCTTGCCCAACTTTCCTCCATGTATCCTTGTTCATGGAATCATCTTCCCAGCTCTTTTCCAACCTCAATATCAAACAATATGGCTTGAAATATAGTACTTAGCTGATATCACTTTGTTCATAGTTTAGCAGCTGCGTCATTGACAACGAACCATCTACGTAAACCTGAATACCTGATGCCTCAATTATTGATTGTTTACTTGCCTCCGACACAATTAGTCATTGATGGGATTTGGGATACCCGACTAATGCAGCATGTCAAAAAGGAATAGTACTAGCATACCAGATCCTAGTTGGTGTCAAGTCGACATCCTTATTTGCAACGTGCGCAATGAAATCGCCATCATATTGGCTACAAACTGGAGGAGATTTGGGGCCACATCTATACATTATTGTAGACCAAAACCCAGAAGAAAACAACCAGCTGTTACAAAAGATATACGGAGTATCCAACTAAAACGGCGTGCGCGCGTGCCAAAGACATTTGTAGTTTCTATATAGGAATGCAGTGGTTAGTTGCTGAATCTTCCTTCTCACCATTTGTGTCCAGTCATTTGAGGAAAAGGATGAGGTACTAGCTCATCCTCTGGTGAGTGATGAAGCTGGAGGATCTCTGTGATTTGGCATGTTGGCTACTTGTTCACAACTCTGAGTGAGGCCTCTTTTCAAAGCTTAGAATGGTTGTAAAGTTGAAGCATGCTCGGTCGGTGAGATTTGTTTCGCTCTCTCCATCCATCCATCCACAGCTAGCCCGCCCATTCCGCCTGCACTTCCCACTCTCACATGCTGCTTCTTATCAGAACTGAACCGCAATGGGTGTTGTTATCAGACATGACCTGCAAAATGTGCTTGTCACCTTGCATGGTTAAATAGCACATGGAGCATCCACACACATGTAAAGGTGGAACCAATAATTCTCGGTTCTCAGTCTCAGCTCGGTGTGTCAGACTTTACTGGACCTCTAGGTGTAGATCAGTGGCTAAATACTTATCTTAGATAAAAGACTTGGGTCGCCAAGCGCAGTCGCGGCCATGGTGCCGCAGCGCCGTGGCCACTGGGGTCGGAGTCGGGGAAGCCGTGCAGGCGCGGTCCAATGGCGGCAACGAAGGCGATGGCGCTTCCCGTCGCTTACAGCGTGCTCTCTAGATCGGCTTAGGGATAGGAAAACTGGTGGGGCGCTGGCGGCTGCGGTGAACCACGTTTCTCGAGCCCCAGCCCCCACCTCCTATTTATTGCGCTGCGCGATAGGGGCCCATCAGACAGTAGAAATGCTGAGTGCCCCCGATCAGGGCGCAGATCAAGGGCCCAATTAGCCGTTGGTAGAGATCAACCTAACACGGTGCTGTCCAAATGCGCAGGTAGTGACACTCCAAATTCACCATGTCGAAGAGATCACAAAGTTTGTTTAGAGCAGGCTACAGACAACAGAATAAGAGCAGAAATATACGCCCGTGTCAGACGAGCTACAGTAAGTGGCAAAGATAGGATTCTGAATCTTGATAGTTGGCAAAGGGATTGACTCCAATCTTCAGACCTTTCTCTGAACCTGACAGATACTACAAAGCAGCATCCACTTTGACAGCTAGCTCAGAGTAATCAAACAATCCGTTTGATGTGCTTCTTCGAGGCTTACGTCTACAAATCGTTGGACCATGTCTTGTGAACTCTTTTTTCGCTAGTCCAATACACACTTGCAGCATACTTTATATCAAGTTGGAGAGATATTTGCTTTATTAATTTGCACACTGTGTTATGGAATATGGAGTACCGGCAGTATGAAACTGGTCAGTCAATCTGTTCTCGGGAGCGTTAATTTTGTCAAGTTCTCCTTGAGATACCTAGATTACTAGATAAGGGGTCGTTTCTAGTACTGAGGTAAGTGCTCTGTATTTTTCATCAGTCAGGCCGGCTATCTGAAATATTGGTACACCGGCCCAGTGGTTTAGGGCCAGTTTGGCCAGGCTCCTCTCAGCTCCGGCTCCATGGTACAGTGGTTGAGGATCCGGAGCAGTCAAAAATAGTGGCTCCTCCAGGCTCTAGTTCATTTGGATAGAAGAGAGAAAAATAGCTCTAATGAACAGTACCATAAACAGTTCGTAATTTGGAAGAGCCAGAGCCTCTAGGAGCTCTCCCAAATGGCCCCTTAGTCTCAATTGTATGCCCACCTCAAGTGGGCAGAACCTAGCTAAATACTTTGTGTCAGCATCACCTATTCACCATGCATGGCACACTAACACATGTAACGTATTACATAATAATAGCTCTATTTTTTTCACCGGAACTTGCATTGACTATGTGTTGCTGCACAGAAAAATTAAAAGTCAAAATAAGATTTCCATAAAGTTTAGGATTATGGAACTCGTGCACAGTCTGTGAAGTAGCGTATGTGCCTGCCACTCTAAACCTACCCACAACAATGTGGAGTTTTCTTATTTTATATAAAAAAACAAATCATGGGAAACTGAAAAAAAATACACTTAGGAGTAAATTAATAGTAGTCCAAGATAACAGCGCTAAATTACATTATTGATAAGGAGGTTTACTTCGAACTAGCTAGGGGTAGCCCACTCAATTGGGTGGCTAGTTGTGGGGCGCAACCCAACCTATTCGCTTGAACTTATTAGCCTGACTTATCAGCCATGAAACAGTGTTTTTTCACTCACAACAAATCAGCTTCAGCCAGCTTATCAACCGCAGAAACCAATGCATAGCTTTTATACCATCCTCATCGACTACATACACTACCATGTGGTGGTAGAACCTAGACCTAGTATTCGCAAAAAAAGAACCTAGACCTGATATTTAGGATGAACAAACATTTAAATTAAAAGGCTATGAACTACTCCCTCCGTCCATTTTTAAGTATCGCCTAGATCTTCATGCAAGTCAAACTTTCTTAAGTTTTACTATATTTAAAGAAAATATTAATAACATTTTTATATCTCTAAATAGTGTATTATAAAAATATATTCAATAATTAACAATTATATCACGCATCATAAATATTAGTAATCTTTTATATTATTTTGTCAAAGTGCTCCCTCCCATGAATCACAGCTTTCTGGACGCACTGCTTGAACACCATGGAGCAAGATAGTGTGGGGTCACTCCTGCCCTCCCACTCTCGCTAGAGGCTAGGCGGGGGGAGGGTTTCCCACAGGGGGTGAGAAAAGCATAAACAGAGGGTATCCCAAAGGGAGAATGCAGAAATAAATGCGGATTAATTGTCCATCATATTACCAAAATTAACTCTGCCCGAACAGTGGTGCCCTGGGGTATCTATAGGGCACACCCCAATGCGATGGTAAAATTAGGGTATCCCAAAGGGAGAATACGGAAATAAATATGGATTAATTGTCCATCAAATTGCCAAAATTAACTCTGTCTGAACAGTGGTGCCCTGGGATATTTATAGGGCACACCCTAGGGCAATGGTAAAATTACACAAGGGTTGCCTATGCGTCTCGATTTCCAATACACTGCTAAAGGGAAGGGAGGTAACTTCCCGTACTCTTGCCAGCTACTCCATGCGTTGGCGCCGCCGCTCCCGGAAGGCTTTGCCTCCTTCTGCCGCGGGGCTTCTCGAGGGTTTCCCAGGCTTCCGCCAGACTCCCATCCTCCTGTCATGTGTTACCTTCGTCACGGCCTCCACTGTGTGAGCCTGCAATGAAAGGAGACTGAGGAACCTTCGGACCCACGAGGGTTCCACGTTATGACCGGGCATTAGCGAGGGTCCGAGAAAGGCCAAGTGTCAAGGGGTCTTGTGGGGGGGGCTTGTTGAGAAAAAAAACTCCTATCCCAGTTGATCGAACTTGAGTATGTTTAACTCTTCGATATGTGAGAACGGCAGTTAAAAATGGACAGAGGGAGTTTCGAGGAGTTCGCAGAGACCAAGTCAACAGCCGCGGCGGAGTTGTTGGACGCGAGCGGCGCAGCGTGCGGTGGGCACAGGTACC